CGAGTAGAAATTACTATATTAATATAGAGCGTTCTTTCTTTTTTTATCTTCTTGCTTTCTCTACAAAATAAATTTAAGCATTTAAGCCAATTATAAATTATTATCGTATTTTTTTTCGGCGGCAACATCCGCGTAAAAAATCCTGATGACAACATTTCTTAAGTCCTTCAACACAACAAATGAACCGGAGTAACCGGAGTATACCGCTCGCGATGATGATGATGATGCATCGTCATGTGCATAGATCTAATAAATTGCCGGACGGACTCGCATCGATTAATTCCGATCACGAGAAGATAAATGACACAACAAATGTACGTGACAAACCGGAGTATACCGCTCGCGATGATGATGATGATGCATCGTCATGTGCATAGATCTAATAAATTGCCGGACGGACTCGCACGAGATAACTCGATTAATTCGCTAGTGGGCGGTTAGAACGACTTGTGTGTCTGTAAACTTTGTTGTGCACAGATTAATGTCAATTAACATGAACGGGGGCTCGTGATAATGTTTACTATGGGACCAGTATATCTTCTGAAATAATCTCGATGCAACTTGTTTACGTTGAAAAAGCACAGATTCGCGCAATCTTTGTCTCAAGATTGATGATACGTGTTAAAAAATAAAAATCTTTTATTTATAAAAAAATATTGAAAAATTAAGCAAAAAATGAAAGCAATATATAAATTTGCTGCATAACTATAAAGATATTAAAATTTTGAAATATTTACAATTTTTTCTAGTATAACATTTTAAAATATTTTAAAAAAAAATTAATTTTTTCTCGCATTTATTATTGCATTAAAGATATTAAGCATCAAATTATAATATTACCGAAAGAAGATTACAATCATCAAACACACATTCTGTTTGCACACTTGTTCATAACACGGCTTCTAAAAATAATGGGTCATTTATCGCGTCAGCGATTGCAACCGTCTATCCCTTATATAAGAATTTAGCCGGCGTGAGCGACATTAAGGTACATAATAAGCGATCCAATCCAATGCAATTTCACGTGACGCTTATGCTTATATCATGGTTAATAAATTTCGATTAAGGAAGACGTGGAAATCTACTCTCCGCACGTTCCACTACATTCTAACGAGACTCGACTCTTTCACAAATTACTGCGGATTTACTGCCATTTGACGAGATGATGCATCGAGTGATCAATTGCACTTTAACGTATCGTGTTGTTCCTTTATTTGACATTGTAATCTCGTAGAAAATAGAAACAAGAAATATTTTAGAATTTTAATTATCTTACAATTTAAATTAATAAAAATTGAATTGATTTTAAAATCTGATATATACAAAATATACGGTTATGGCATAAAGATAAAAATATCATGAAAACTATTCTCACACATAACATGACAAAATCAGATTATCAAGTCATGAGATAATATAAAGAGTTTGAAAATTTAGAATCATTCTTGTGCTATTAAAATTAGAGATAAATATTAAAAATTAATAAAGATTAAAAATTTTATATGAGATTTTAAATTTTTGTTATTACTACATTTTACGAGATAAGCCATCCTTTGAAAATGCTATTAAAATTTCTTGCTATTTATATTTTACTTACAATTAAATACTATTGCATCGTTCATTTAATATGGGCGATAAGTTTATTGCATGCTTTTTGCATACGAGTATTCTAGAATCAGTTAAATGCTTTGTAAAGAACGTTATGACTTGAAACTATAGCATTCATAAAATATTATAAAGCCAATTTTCTTACTTCTGCTTTAATGTAGCATAAAATTGATGTCTTTCAACATTTATCGTAACGGGAATGAATGACATTCATTGATTCAAAAACAGATTTTGTATAATTCAAATCCGTTACTTCTCTATAGAGAAACTCGTGACAGAGTTTCAGAAAGTCACTTATATTCAGGATTTTTCAAGCCAAAGTAATCTCAATTTATCATGTTTATTTCTAACGATAAAAGCGCGTAATAAATGTAATTTCTTTTCGTAAAGAAATAACATCTTTTTGTTTCTTTAAAGAAGAAATAGAATTAAATATACCAAAATTGTAACGATTTCAAATCCTTCGGTTCGTATCACTTTGCTTCCGATTGCCTCGTGATCGCTGTCGATCCGCGAGAGAGTAGGGTAAAGCGGAGCGGATCGCGACAAGCCATCATCGTTATCGCTGCGCAAAATTATGCTAAATGTGCAACTCACGGATACGCGGGTCCCCCGCTGTCGCGTGTCATGCTCATGTAATCGCGAGCAACTTTCTTTTCCAACGACGGGGCACAACGATCGACGGAGGGAAGACGAGTCTCTCGGCGATTCGATGAAACATTTATGTTCGCCCGCACGTGGGACTATACACAGGTGAAAAGACAGAGCAGACAGACAGAGACGCATACACGAGCAATGATGATGATGAGGATGATAATCCAATCGTGAGTATGTACGATCAGGAAGAAGGACGACGATCGCGACGAAAGATGTGCGTCTTGATTGACGAGTTATTGCCTCTATCTTTACTTCAGCGCTTTCCCTTGGAGGAACGCACTCTCTTATAATCGAGAATAGCGCCTTTTGCGCCTTTTCCGCTTGTCGATAGTCTGCCAGCAACTGCATAGTAACACAGATAACACCGTCTTTACACGCCGGTCGATATCGCCGCGCGATTATTTAGTCACTGACATTCCGCCGATGACGTCTGTAGTGGTCGATACAGAGTGATTTGCCTATAGTCGTACTAACTCGTCAATTGATTCTAACTTTCGAATAGATGACTTAATTGAAGCATCGATGGTACAATGACACAGAACTTAATTGAAATTTTGATGTAAGCATGATAACAAGGTCGAAATAAGTTTTCTCTGAATTGAAAGGAACTCTGTCTCTGTCAAGATTAATATAGGATTGGAGAATTTATATAAATGCAAATATAAAAATATTTTATTTCCGGGCATAAATATTATTTAACACGAGGTAACTTTAGCTTTAGATTTCTATTTTTTGCAACATTTATTTAATAATAATCATCAAAAATTATTTACTTGTGTATAATCAAAAATTGAATCGACTGTATATAATGCGAATTGTCCAACATCAACGATTGCAATAATATTGACTGTATGGATGTTGCAGCCGCGAATGCTATAAATGTTATGCTGAAAGCTATCTTCTTTTATGAGGTTCAAAGATAAATTGATCTTTCTTCATTTTTTAAATAATTAAAATGATAACAAAACGTAATAAATTACAAAAATTTTATGCGAAAATCTCATTATCAAAATAATCCCAGAATCCTGGAAAAAATCGCCCGGAAAATGTTCCTTCAAAATATACAGAATATCTCGAAAGCTCCAATTTTAACATCGGTGACTTTGATTTCGACTTAAATCATATGAGTAAATTTAAATCAATTTTGAATCCCAAAGTATACTCTACGTATAAAAATGCTTATACGCCGAATATTTATTAACTTACATCATTTTAATTTTTACGCAATTTAATACTCACGAGTCGATGTGTTATCAATCGATCAAACTCGTGGCAATTAACGATAGATTGAAACTGTATTAAATCCAATTATCCGAACTACAATCTTACCCGCAACAGAGCTGGACAGAGAAAATTCGGTCAACCAGAGTTAGCGTTCTCGGAAGCGTTTGTAACCGCAAATAAGCTTTATTCCTTGATTAACGATCTTCTAATCACAACGAGCGCGAATAATTAAAGACAGATGAGGAAATTATCGCGTCACGCAGATGATTCTTACATAGCACTGTTTAACGTTTACGTTTTTCAGACTGTGTCTGCTCCTTTATCCCGAAGAGAGAAGAGGAAAGCGTCAAGGACGATTTTCGCGTTTAACTTCCACGTTCACGGACACGCCGCCGGTATCTCTCTTTCTCACTCGTATAATGTATACACGATGCTGGCGAAGAACCGACTGTGCCGCTTTGCCACTCGGATCCTCATCTATATCCACCCGCGCTTGTGCGCGCCGTCGCTCTGTTCGTGCACGTGACAGAACGTTCGGTACACGCGAATGTTACAACACTTAATCGCAGAGATGAATTCGGAACCAATCTTAGATTAATTGGAGCAATCAGCTCCGGAAATAAAAGATTGCCTATACATATGAATATCACATCAGCCTTCATATTGCGTAATACATATTGCGTATAGATTTTTTACTTGTAAAGTATAAGAAAGAATATAAAAAGTTGCCTGTCATGTAGATTATAATAATATTCGAGTCGAACTAACTGAAAAAACGGCGATAAATCTGATAGAAATTGCGCGAAAAATACGGCGTCCTTTTCGGAAATCACGTTGAAAAATCGTGCACGAGATTCTTTCGATCGTGAGATGCAATCGTAAAGAATTTTGACAATGGATTATAAAATCGAGAAGAAAACCGATGTCCTTCTTCTTTTTACGACCGGTTGACAGGCCGAGTTGTAGCAGTTTCCTACACACGTGCGATGTGTATGCATTGAGAGAAACACAAATGTCTCGAAACCGGTTTTCGAAGCTCGTCCCCGGTTGCCATAAGCTTTATGGCCGAAAGAAAGCAAGTCTCGAGAATCTCAATGCACCACCTTCGATGCTGTGCACAAGAAGCTTGAAGTTTGGATGTCGATGTAAATGCATTTTTTAATTTTCCCAAAATATCAAATATTCTAACAAAAAAAAAAAAAAAAAAAAAAAAAAAAAAAAAAAAAAAAAAAAAAAAAAAATTCAAGGATAAAATTATTATTAAAACTCTTTATAATGATATGATCAAAAATTACAAAATTGAATTATAAAACCAATTTTCTGAATAAGACTAAATTATATTATTGAAGTTCTTTTCAATGTGTAGACAAAATTCATTAAAACATAAAATATTAAGTACACAATCATGTTATTTTCCTGTAAAATATGTAAAATATGTCTTTACATTTTTGCATGATAAAATATTTTTGTATATAGCTCCTCTTAATATATTATCTAAGTTCTACTTAAAATGGAATCGCTTGAAAGATGAAAAGAGATATATTTTTGATATGCAAAAATTAGAATATTTATTCCGTAATGCACAAGAAAAATCGAGCTTCATGTCAATCAATCATTTCTAACAATGCACCAGCTATTATTTATCCGCAGTCAATCAATCCAGAATTCTCAATTCTCAATTCGGATACGGCGCTATTATACGACAATATTTGTATTATTAGAGGGGGATGAAAAATAGATCAAATGTCGCGAAATGACCGAATAATTTGCTTCTATGAAATTACGTTGCAAAATTACATCATTTGAATAAACGCACGAACGAAGAAAAGAGCGATGCAATTGCAAGCTCGTCGCAGCGAGTTCTGGACAGTTCAAAAGAAGAATAAGCTTGTTTGCGTCAATCATCTGCGAGTATGCGAATAGGTAATCTATGTATTCGATTGTGTATAATTATCAGTTTATGACAAAATAATTTCACAACCGAGCGTTTGCTATGCAATAAAAACTGGCAATATCTTTAGGAATTTTTAGTAACACCAATTTTAAATGCATCCAAGACTTTGTATAGAGAAAGATTCTCACACATTGGATTATTTTATTTTATTTATTAACTTGCAGAGCTTGTTTTCCCGATAACAATAATAAATATGCCAAATCGTTATTAATTTACTATCTTTTGTTACTTCTCAAAGATGTACAAGATTAAATCGCGATGAAAATGTCGCAAGAGTTGTCGGAAAGACGATTCACCTTAACGATGCAGTGCTCATTTTAGCACATTTATGCGATATGTACACGACATGCGCATAATTCGTAGCTGCAGTAGTGCTCGTCGTGCCGAATGCGATCTTTATGTCTGTATGTTTCGCGATCGCGCGAGCATTCGGTATCCTTGACGTCAACGGCTCTATTTTCGGTCGTCGTCGGCGTACATTTAGCACCGCGAGTGTACGTCGTAAAATTTACAACGACGATTGAATGTGAACGAGCTCTGTATTCATCATTAAATTGCAATTTATGAAGCTTTCTTTGTCCTAAAAGCGTAAGGAGAATTTCCTTAAACCGTAAATTTGTAGCTAACAAAAAGAAAACGCCGCCAATGAAATAGAAGAAAAATGCTAAAACTAATTATTTTTACAAGTCTCGTTTGAAAAGTCAGCATATCCCAACAAGTCGAAAAGAAATCTGTATTTTGATTGCGTGATTTACGATCGCATATTTCGAATCGCGCAATAAGTTAATTTCTGACATTTTCGAAAAAAATCGAACAAGTGTGGCAGATCCAAAATAGTTTACTTCACATTTTGTGATCTCTCCCTGTAATCCCCCAACTTTTTTTCTAGAAGATTCCGAATCATGATGAAAATGAATAAGGAATTCCCGCTTCATCGTGCAACATAGCTATATCGGCGCGATAAAAAAATTATGATCAAAACTTCCGAGCATTTAGGCACGCGTTATAAGATAGTTAACGTAATCGATTTATGCCCCATTTACGCGCGGAAGTTTGCGATTGGTACCGTTGATTTTCTCAAATCCAATAGCTTTAGATTTTCGAGAAAAATAGTGTCGAGTGATTTGCGTCAAAAATTAAACTGTATATACGTTTAATCTCTCTCTCTCTCTCTCGTCTTTTATATATGTATATAATATTGCATTAATATATTAGTAGTAATTATACACATTATTTTTCCTAAAAATGTAAAAACTTTTTCTGTAGAAATCTATGTTAGCAATTTATTGACCGCTTGTGTCACGAATAAATATACTATTCTTGTATTACTACAGCTGCAGTAGCACGGCATCGAAACCGAAATACACATAAATTCCATGCTTGATTTGTGCGATCGATCTTTTAGCCTGTATCGAGTCGGAAAAGTGGCTGCACTATTTTCGTTGCCAGACGCGTGTCTCGGCATCGAAACCAGTATTTTCCAACCGGATGTTTCTTCTGGCCGTTCGTATCAGGTTGTTAAAGTTCGACGAAATTTGTTAGGAAACGTTTCGTCATTCTTGGACTTCTGCCTGAGACGAAACAAAATAACCGACAGGCAAAGATGCACCATCTTATGCACTGCTTTGTTTTCTGTTTTCTACAGAAAAAGCTATTTCTTCCAAAGAAAGAATCTTACAAATTATAAGTTTTTTAACCTCGATCTTGAATTACTTTACGTTTGATTTTTTTCTAAACATTTTACTTGAAATTTTATAGTTAAATTGTTTAATTATATATATAAACAAATTAATAAATAAAATATATTAACGAGAATGATAGATTTAGAGTAAATGTTTACCGGGAGAGAATGCAAAATCATCGTGAGCTAGCCGGTTCAACGACATCAAATTTAATTGTAATAAAAAATTAGATGAGATTAAATGTGACACGCGATGAACATTAATATGACATTACCGGCTATAGTAACTGTAAACGCTGTAACTAATAAGTAAAAACGTATTATAACAAAAGACACACACACTTTATTTATTCATTTATTAAATTTATAAAATAAAGTATTATCTTTCGAGAAAACGTTACTTTTCAGAATATCCCAAAATTGTCATCAATCAAAATTTTATAGCTTGTCGCAAAATTCAATTCTGTAGCATCAAATATTTTGTCACAATTATTTAAGTAAGAATCAAAATAAATAAAAATAAATAAAAATATTAAATTATAAATTAAAAATCAATTGTGATTAATTAAAAAACAGAGATCGCTCAGTATTAATTTTGGTTATCAAGATTTAAATTAATTTTGATTTTTATCGGTAAATTCTCCCGCAATAGATATCAATAGCATTATTTTTCTCGATCTATATTTTGATAATACTAAAGTGATATTTGATAGTTTCGGGACATCTCATACTTGCAGCAATTTGATCAGTATTTTCCTACGGTCGGATCGGGTGCCAAGGTGTGAGAATACTTTTTTGCTTTCCCGGGGAACACATCATCATCCAGTTCAGAATATAGACGCGTATTCAAGGCCGAAGGAGTGTACACGCGTAGGTGCATTGTGACTCATTCGTCCGTAAAGATGAAAGAAATAACACGCCTAAAAATCACAAACACGAGAAAAAGAAACGATCGACAACAGATTCATTTTTTAATACCCCCATCGATGTAACGTATCCAAAATAATAATCTTGAATCGAGGGTAGAATCAGAGGGATTGACAATGGATGCAAAAATATAATATAAAGGATACAGGGATACACAAGGAATACACAAAGGAATTTAGAGTTTTGGGTACGTTAGTGTTGAAAACGACCGAAAAAGACGTTACAATTTTGAAAATTACACGGTTTGGAACAGTTATGTCTGGAATATACCGCAGAAAAACATATTATATTATATATAATATATAATTATAAAAATCTATATGTATGTGTAGATGTGTATGCAGTTATTGCACAAAATTATTGTACTATATTTCCGGACGTTATCAATCAAAAAAGAATTCAAAAATTATAAATCTCATCTTCAGATCAAAACATACGTATATATCGGAAAATAAATTTCGCAGAAAAAAAAGAGTTCTGTCGAATCGTCTATTATTAACTCACCTCTACCAACCCGCCTATTATCGTTCATTACTCGTAGACTTTGCCGGAAATATTGTCACGGCATTTATCGCGCGTTGCAGTAGCTGTTAAACCTCGTAACAATCCACATAATAACGACGACAAATATTCACGTATTTACTATTATTAGTAGTTCGTTATCTATTTTAGTACTGCAGTTTATTACTCGAAAATGTTAATGTCAATTAGCAGCTAATTGTGTGTATATGTATGTATGTATGTATGTATATGTATATATATAAACATTTTATTGCGCGCTTAATAATCGCAAAATTATCGCGCTATATATATATAGACGACACAAGGTACGAATCACAAGATACAAAAAATACAAAAAAGCCTTATCGCTCCATCCGATAAGTTGCGAGACATATCACGTATTGAATAATGTAATTAATATCGTTGCAATAATATATCCCGCGCTATAATTTTGCGATTAGTAATCGTGCAATAAAAACATTCACTTGCATTCCTAAAGATGTCTTATCAGTCGTAAAGATTGTTATAGTTTCTAGATGATCATAATGGATCAGTAAACCAGTCGTATACAGTGTACTTTATCCCCCCCCCCCTCTCACTCTATGATATTCTTTCGCTTTTTTTCCTCTCTATAATTATGTAATTCATTTTACATTCATCGATCATTATTCAATGGCGAATCGACAGGACAAACTGGCAAGGAGTCCTTAAAACTGCTCCTTTTGTTCAATCTTAAAATCTTTTATCCTCTACACACTTTTTTCTCTTTAAATATTTGATAAATCTTTATTTTTAGCATATAATATCAAAAAAACATGTTATATCCATATTAAATATTACGTTTTGAGTTTCGAGAGCACGTTTCTCAGAAGAGTTAAATATAAAGTAGATTAGTTATACAAAAAAAGAAATTTGAATACTATCAAGAGAGTTAAATAAAAAAATAGTAAATATAGATAAGAGATAATATAAAATATATATCATTTATAAAAAGAAATATATAGAAATATCAGATATCTATATATTAGTGTTGTAATAAAAAAACATATCTCTCTCTTTAGATCTTTGTAAAACTAATTTTTAAGAACAGTACAAAAATAGAAAGATTGC